TTACCAAAACTATGGCACTTACTTACCAATAAGCAATATTCAAATGTCACGGTGCTCTCCAAATGTTTTTGGGTAATTAAGACTGATAGCTACACACCTTGAATTTCATCGCTAAAACTACACCCTTTATCCCTCCGGTGGAAACAATGCAACCTTTGTCTATTAGAGAAACTAACCATTCTCAAGCACACTGACAATCCTAAACTGCTGAACAAACGAAATGAACTTATGAAAGCATACATTCATAAGAAAAACTCTCTTCAAAAATATTGTGCTTCTGGCTCGATCAATTAACCTAACATCTGTTATAATTTTTGTTACACACTAGTTACATCTGTTGCACCAGATCAGCGTCTATTTGTAACGTAAACGTTTTATTTTCTCTTTGATTTTTTACTATTTCTTATATTCTAATCTTTTTCGTCTAACAATTTTTTTAAATTTTTAGCTTATTTTATATTTAACTTTATCTCTATATACAGTACAATGTTACTTCAATGAGACAAAGAAATTACCTGTAAACTACATTGCCGAACAACAATACAACACACCGCACCAACACCTCACCTGTAATTGAATTGCTTTCTCCTTGGAATTTTAAATTAATCCCCACCTTTTTTAACGAAAATATGTACCATATAAGCTCGTATCATATAGTGATTTTCCAAGTGTAGATTAGATCTGGCACAAGGCTGAAAGTATGGGGTACCCAATGAGGATCGAACGCACTATTCAGTTGTAATTGTTCTAGCGAGACAAGCTTGCTAGCCGCCTCGAGGTGCCTAAAGCTGATATCATGATTGTTTTTTCAAATATCTACCTATCAACACGTTATATTATGAATTTATACGTTAATGTTATACTGAATTTCTAATGACCTTGAACTTTGAACCTGTATATAATATAGTGTTCCTCCCATTGGACCTAGAAGTTTTATTTTTTTTTTAAATAGCTGTATTAAATAGTTCATTTACCATTTATGCCTGATGAATTGGGTAACAATGAAACTCTGAGTTGCCCTACAAATGTAGGTATATGTGTATTTATTAGTATACACTATATAGCTCTGTTTAACTGCACTGAGCACTGTTTTCTTTACACCTTAAATAAATGTTCATTTGCACATCTGTATATGTACGCTATCACACGCATATATAGGTGCTAATATCTCGTTATTTTGTTTATGTTCACACTTATATCTATCTATCTATCTATCTATCTATCTATCTGTATGTATATATATATATATATATATATATATATATATATATATATATATATCAGGAATACATATATACACAACTATACATAGGTAAAATTTGTAATAAAAATTCATATGAATGTGAGATAGATATATGCAGACTGATATAAAGAGATAAACGGATATGAGAAGACTTAGGAAGATAGAAAGAAAAGAAGGAAGGAAGGAAGAAAGAAAGATAGTAAGGAGAAAGAAAGAATTAAATAAAAGAAGGAATGAAATAGGAAGAAAGAAAGAAAGAAAGAAAGAAAGAAAGAAGGAAGATAAAGAAAGAAAGAATGAAAGAAACAGAGAAAGAGAGGAAGAAAGAAAGAAATGAAGGAAGCAAACAATAAAGAAAGAATGAAAGAAAGAAAGAAATACGGAAAGAAAGAAAGAAAGAATGAAAGAAGGAAAAAATGAAAAAAAAAGAAAGAAAGAAAATGAAAAGAATGAAGAAATCTCCAAAATGGACAGAAAATAAAGAAGATGAAAATGATATTCGTGAAGATTAAATCGAAACTAAACCCATTAAATAAATGGATTCTAAAAGGAAATCCTAGGGAATCTCTTAAAATGACTGAAGAAGCCAACATAGTTAAGAAATGACGGAAGAGTAACCGATAAGAACATCCGGTCATTCAACGTATGAATAATAATAATTATAATATTCTGCTAGAAGCCAAGAATTGTCCAGTCAACACAAATAAACAGAACAGCATCGGAAATAAACTTATTTCGTTAGAACGTCTTGGGATTTACTCAAGTTAAGAAATTTAATACAAAGGTGAGAGAGTAAGAGATCACGACTGGAAAAGGCGGAAAATTTGAAATCTGAAACGATAGGGGTAAAAAATAAACCCAAAAACAAAAACATGTCTGTGTCGGAAAGGTTAAGGAAGAAACGAAAGAATTCAGTTTGAGATTCTTAGTCGGATGTCGCCATTTTCGACGTTGAGATGAAATCATCTGTTTGAATCTCAATTTCAAGTGATGACGAATGAAATGACGTCAAGTAGGAAATGAAGGACGTTGGAGTGAATGAAAAACAAAATCAAAACGAAAGTAAGTAGATTGAAGGGAGTCGGGGGGGGCGTTGAGACGAAGTTTGAAGAGTTTCTGTTACCAACTGTTGAGTGGATTATGTAGGGTGGGGGGCAAAGACAAATACAATTGACTGGGGACTGGGGATGATAAAAAAAATGGAAGGAAGTAACAGGACTGAGAAAGGTAGAATTTATTGGATAGAAGAAAGAAAGAAAGAAAGAAAGAAAGAAAGAAAGAACGAAATAAAGACAGACAGGAAGGGCGAAAGACAGGAAGAAGAAAGAAAGAAAGAAAGAAAGAAAGAAAGAAAGAAAGAAAGAAAGAAAGTAAAAGAAAGAAGGGACGATGAAAGAAAGAAAGAAGACAGTAAGGACGAAAGAAAGAAAGAAAGAAAGAAAGAAAGACAGGAAGAAGAAAGAAAGAAAGAAAGAAGAATGAAAGAAAGAAAGAAAGAAAGAAAGAAAGAAAGGAGAATGAAAGATAGAAAGAAAGAAAGAAAGAAAGAAAGAAAGAAAGAAAGAAAGAGAGAAAGACAGGAAGGAGAATGAAAGAAGGTAAGAAAGTCAGAAGTTTCGAATGCTACAGTGAAAGATACAGGAAGAATAAAAAAGAATGCACTACTACAGAAAGAAAGAAAGAAAGAAAGAAAGAAAGAAAGAAAGAAAGAAAGAAAGAAAGAAAGAAGGGACGATGAAAGAAAGAGAGAAAGAGAACAGGAAGGGCGAAAGAAATACAAGAAGGAGAAAGAAAGAAAGAAAGACAAGAGGAGAACGAAAAAGAGAAAGAAAGAAAGAAAAGAAGGAAGGAAGAAAGAAAGACAGGAAGAAGAAATAAATACATAAAGAAAGAAAGATAAAAGAAAGAACGACAGGAAAGAGAAAGAAAGAAAGAAAAACAGGAAAAAGAAAGAAAGAAAAAAGAATGAAAGAAAGAAAGGAGAAAGAAAGAAAGAAGAATGAAAGAAAGACAGGAAGGAAAATGAAAGACAGAAAGAACGAAAGAAAGAAAGAAAGAAAGAAAGAAAGAAAGAGAAAGACAGGAAGGAGAATGAAAGACTGGAAGGAGAAAGAAAGAAAGAAGGTAAGAAAGTCAGAAGTTTCGAATGCTACAGTGAAAAGATACAGGAAGAATAAAAAAGAATGCATTACTACAGAGTGAAATAAAGGACAAAGAAGAAAATATAGATAGGGTGTGAGAAACACGGAAGAAAAAAATCAAAGGAAAAGAAAGAAGGAAATCTAGAGAAAAGGAAAGAAAGAAAGACAGAGAGAAAGAAAGAAAGAAAGATAGAGAGAAAGAAAGATAGAGAGAAAGGTTCGACTGCTAGAGAAAAATGGACGACTATACAGTGAAAGAAAAATTGCCGGCAAAAGAGACAAAGGAAGAAAGAATAACAGGAGAAGATAAAGATATTCTGAGAGAAACACAGAAAAAAAGAAACAAAGGAAAAGAAAGAAGGGTAACTATAGAGAAACAGAAAAAGTAAAGAAAGAAAGAAACATAGTAATATAGTAAAAGAAAAAAAGAAGAAAAGTAACGTCTCCTACAGATTGAAAGAAAGAAAGAGTGAAAGAAAAGAAAATTAAAGAACGATGGGTAGTTGTACAGTAAAATAAACAAAGAGAGAGAGTAAGAAAGATTGATTCTGTATTTAATCGAAACTTGTTTAAATTTTTATAACGCTTGAAATTCCTGTCTTGGAGACAAATAGTGATTGCGTTTTTGTTCCACAATCTCAGCGATAGTCGGCTTTCAGAGCTCTCGATGTAGATAAACAGGCCGTGAGATTGGGGGAGATAAGATAAATTGGAAAACAGGAAAAAATATTTAGATTGAGGTAAAATATATGAGAAATAAGTAAATATTGAGATGGATGGGCGGAAATACTGAGATAGATAGATAGATAGATAGATAGATAGATAGGAATATAAGATAGAAAGATAAATGCTGAGATAGACAGACAGACAGATAGATAGATAGATAGATAGATAGATAGATAGGAATATAATAAGATAGAAAGATAAATGCTGAGATAGATAGACAGACAGAAAGACAGACAGACAGATAGATAGATAGATAGATAGATAGATAGATAGATAGATAGATAGATTTGAATAGACTTGGGCTGATAGATAGATAGATAGATAGATAGATAGATAGATAGATAGATAGATAGATAGTAATATAATAAAATAGAAAGATAAATACTGAGATAGATAGATAGATAGATAGAAATATAATAAGATAGAAAGATAAATATTGAAATAGATAGATAGATAGATAGATAGATAGATAGATAGATAGATAGATGAAAAGTGAGAGAGATCAACCCCTAAGAACGTCAAAAAGCAGGAGGGGGAAGGTCGGAGATTATCCACCAATGCTAAACGAATAACAGAAACGAAAAGAATCCTCGGTTGTAGGAAGTGTTTTCCGAGGCGCGGGAGCTTCGTGGTTGAGAGGGAAGCCGGCAGCGGAACGTACACAAGTGTCACAAGAGGCACGGAATCGAAAGAATAGGAATGCAAAACGAAACTACAGTTGTCAGTCCTGATGAAGTCCGTTGCTGTTTGATAATTGCAATTGAAGCTCTGTCAACTGAGCTTTTCTTTTTTTTCTTTTCTTTTCTCTCGGCACCCGTTCTGCATTCGCTTTAGTCACGGACGCGGTATTTTCTTTCGATGGATGTGGTAGAAGATGGTCGGGGCGCTTTATGGCCAGGGGAAGCGAACACCCAGTAAAATGGATATGGGTAAGGGTCTGGTTGAACAGGGTTGGTCAGCGGGAGGCTGCGGTAGACGAGGAGGCAGGTTACATTAAGAGCTTCCGTTCTAGGTTTGGGCGGGAAATGAACAGTGAAATACGTCAATGTCGACCGAACAGCATTTGGAGGAAATATATACTTTCCTTCAAGTCAAGACTGACACAAGGTTACATTTGATGAGCAATACGAACGGCTGGCCTGAATTCCCCTTTCACCGTTTAACAAACTGATTTCTCAATAGTGATAAGTTGGGTAATCCTATTTGAGGATTTACTAAGTCAGTTATGTGCCATGTGTGATACACGCTTAGCCGATACAGTATCTTTTGATACATGACTGACGGGGCAGATTTTTTTTCCCGCAGTAGTTTGCCATTTCTTTCTGCGGAAGACCAGTTGCCATACAGGGATATAGAACCCGGTCCGTCCTGCTGCTTACCCATAGATGGGGGGAAAAGAAGAGGATTCCTACCTTTCCTAAGGGTATTAGTACGTAAGTGAATGTAATGGATTCAGCTGGAATTCGAACTCGGCTCTCCGATTCCTCAATCCGAGCCGCTATCCATAACTCCACCTACTAGATCATATTGAAGACACTTGGTAACGTCCGTAGCTCGATTGGTAGCAAGTTCATCTCATTGACTATTTAACTATTACAGTAGGCGCTCCATTTCACTGGCCTTGTGCTAGACTTGGTCAACTTTAATAAATACCTAGAATGAAAAAATGGAACGCATGTTGTAATGCAAGATTTATTAATCTAGTCAATCAGAAAAAAAATTCTTACGATAGGAACGCGCTTCTCACTGGGTGCCCTATTATTATGATCTTTTACTTGAATTAGCTAAGTTTCGTTAATATAACGAAAGAAGTATGTTTCGTTAGGGCCTGCAAGACGAGTATTCACCGAGCAACGAGTTCATGCCTTTTGCCGATTTTGCCACAGAGGATTATTATTATTTTATTATAAACAGAACATTTACTTAAATATTTGTATCTATAAAAAAGAATGTATACACATAAGAAATGTCTTAAAATAATTGTCGGATTTCATAATGTGTGACGTCATTTGTTTACATTTGGATACGCATCGAGCAGATATGAATGTACGTGAGAGATTCGTGGAAGATTAAAGTTTAAAGAGAGTAAAATTGACCTCTATGGCCCAATTGGTTAAAGGAACGTCAGGCTATGTGACGGTTCCGTATAGGATACAGGTTCGATTCTTGTCGGAGGACGCATATTTTATATGACAATTTCTCGGACATTCAGGCCGGTAAATTTTGTTAATACTGTTTTTTATAAACAGAGCATTTACTTAAATATTTCTATCTATAAAAAAGAATGTATACACATAAGAAATGTCTTAAAATATTTTATATTATTGATTTTCTGCTTCTTCTTTCTCTCTCTATATGCATACACACGAACGCGCACCCCCTATATATATATATATATATATTTACCAGCTTACAACAAGATGAGGATAAAAAAGAAGGAAAAGGCAGAGGTGAATATTAATAATAATAATAATGGGGAGAAGGAGATGATGGTGAATAGGATGGAGAAGTAGAAAATGAAGAAGATGAGGATAAAGAAGAAGGAAAAGGCAGAGGGGAATAATAATAATAATATAATGGGAACAAGATGATGATGGTGAATAGGATTGAGATGTATGTATCGGAATATCCCACCGGACATTCACTTTACAAAGTAGTAAGGATATTAGAATAATTCAGATCCTATATTGGGAAAAATCGTCCGCATACGGACAGGGAATGAGTTCAGTAAAAAAAAGGTTGTAATACTAATATTTGTCGTCTCACCGGACTTATTCAACTTTTACAGCGAGGCAAATCTGAGGGAATTCAAAGTGCTACCAGAATTCATAATTGTCGGCCACCATGTTTGCTGTATAAAATATACAAACGACACAGTGTTGTTTGTTTTTTATTAAGCATTTCACCCCAAGCAAGGTTGGAAGTGCCACTAACACGCAAGGGGTTACAGAGAGTGGAAGCAAGAGGCTTGATAGACGAAAGGATGAAGAGAAGGGCGGAGAATTACATCCAGGCATCTGGAGATGTCGATTGACATTGCATTTGAATATTTGGAGATTATAGCTATCAGGGAAGCAAGTGATAAGAAGGGAGTTCCACAGACGGGAAGTGCGAGAGATGAAGCTATTGGAGTAGAAGAGACGGCTACATTTTTCGAAAGTGAAAAGGTGGGACTGAGATGCCAACATTTACATTCATGCAGTTTGGGAACCAGCGAAAATAGCTCATCGGAGCGGTTACCGTGAAAGTATTTGTAGAAAAGACAGATGGAAGCGACAGCACGTCCGTGAGAGAGCAACTGTAAATGAGATGCCAGATCAGGGCCAATCACATTGCATATCCGTCTCTGGATTTTGTCGAGGACCTTAAGACGAACAGCGGGGGATCCAGACCATATATGACAGCAGTACTGAAAGAAAGCGAGAAGAAAGGACTAAACATCAAGTATAAGAAGAGTGAATGCATGGTCGTTAGCAAAAAGAACAGCCTAATATGCAAATTGCAGATTGGAGATACCGAAATCAAATACGAGCAACAATTCTGAGAAGCGTATTAACAGTGGACCGAAAGTGCGATACTGAAATCCGAAGGCGCATTGGGAGAGCAAAAATGTCTTCTAAAAGCTAAGCAAAGTATTAAGAAAGAGAAAAATATTTATTAGAAACGAAGCAAAGAATACTAAACTGTAGTATCAGTCCTCCTCTATGATAGTGAATGCTGGTCAATCTCATAACAGATGAAGAAGAACTGTGATTCTATAGAAGGATGCTGAGAGTACCATGGACTGAACATTCAAGCAACGATGTTTTTTCTTATGCTGAACATCGGGAAGAAACAGCTGAAAGTTTTGCGACACATAATGAGGAAAGAAGTTTCCGAAAATTTGATACTCACAAGACAGATTGAAGGTAAAATCGCCAGAGGAAGGCAAGACATCTGGCGAGATTAGACGAATAGTTGGGGAAGCAGGGTTTCGGGGAGATGGGAGAAAGAGATACACAAGTTGAGATTGGGATCAAATACGGATCAGATTTGGATCGGAATCCGACAGTGTGATAAGACAAAGAACAAAGAGGAAACGCTTACTAATCTAACATGTTTCACATTTATTAAAGCCTCATCAGAGTATTATTAGGGACTATAATGGGCAGGAAAGTGTGGAGAACCATGATTGCCTTACGTCCTGAAGAGACACGGAACATAGCAGAAGAAGAGGATGATTCTTCAGCACTTCCTTTTCTTCCTATGATCACATGTCCATAAAACTTAACACTACATCGAAACCCGTAAATCATACACATGCATTCTGATAAATAATAATAATAATAATAATAATAATAATAATTATTAAAATTTATTATTATTATTCCCCTCTGCCTTTATCTTCTTCTTTATCCTCATCTTCTTCATTTTCTACTTCTCCATCCTATTCACCATCATCTTCTTCTTCACATTATTATTATTATTATTATTATTATTATTATTCCCTTTGCTTTTTCCTTCTTCTTTATCCTCATCTTCTTCATTTTCTACTTCTCCATCCTATTCACCATCATCTTCTTCTTCCCATTATTATTATTATTATTATTATTATTATTATTATTATTATTAATCCCCTCTGCCTTTTCCTTCTTCTTTATCCTCATCTTCTTTATTTTCTACTTCTCCATCCTATTCACAATCATCTTCTTCTTCCCATTATTATTATTATTATTATTATTATTATTATTATTATTATTATCTTCTCTTTCTCCGCTTAATTTTTCGTTTCCAACACGAGATCTTGCACTATGGATGTCCTCTATTAAGTCGTACGAAGTCAGTCATATGTGATCTCCTTCGCAGAGCATTTGCAAGGCAGACTTCTGAAGCGATGGGGTACTAGGCTTTATTCTGATTTTCTTAATGTACATATAAAACCCAACGCCCTATCAATCTGTAACAATACGTGCCTTGACATCCCACTTTGTGGCAACTTCAACCCGGAGGTCTATATATTTCATAAGTTTATCAATTTCTTTGGTTTTGATGTTATGGTCACCTGGAATAGCCATATCGATAAGGAGGCATTTTTTCATCAACAATTATTATTATTATTATTATTATTGTTACACAATCTTTGCATCATATCTTGTCTGTCAGTCTTAAATGTAAATGTATTTCGTTAAGCTCGAACCTGAGATACAATTTTTTTTTATAATTATTGACCATTCCATACGAGTCTCAGAAGTTTTCGTTTCAAAGACTCTCTGATGACAGATACTCAGTTTTTTTTCGGTTGACAACAGTGATTCATATAAGGCTGCAATACAGGGTGTCAGGGTTAAATTGTCGCCATTTTATATTTTAAATTTCGCGCATGCGCTGTCTTTGTTTTCCATTTTGTCGACTGCACAGTATAGTAGGGTCAGTTGGGCATCGTCTGTGATAAAAAGAACACAAAGAAGCAATTCACTCCGCCAGAAATTTGGGAACGGCATGCTTTACTACTTGACATTAGCGTTGTAAGCTCTAATAACGAACATTTCAGAGTATTTGGGTTTCAATCTGGGAGAGTGCAGAGGATTCAGAAAGAACTGGATGAATCTAATGCTGATTACGAAGTTGTTTGGAGTGTTCACTAGTGATGGTGACGTTATGCCTCCATTCATCTTCCCACAGGGCCTCAGACTCAATACGGAGGCCTACATCAAGTGCCTTGAGTAGGTAGGGCAGCCTGGGTCAAGTGGGTGGCTACAGGAAAACCCTATGTCTGGCAACAGGACTCTGCCCCATGTCACACAAACAGGAGAACCCAGTCATGGTTGTCAGAACATTTCTGCGACCATATTAACCCTTAAATCTGACCACCTCCTTTTCCAGACTGCAATCCCCTTGATTATTATGTGTGGGGCTCAGTTGCTTGAGAGGCCAACAAAACTTCTTGTAACACGAAAGATGAACTGAAGGCAAGGATAATGGCAGCATTCCCCAACTTAAACAAGGAGACCGTCCAGAAGAGCTGCAGGAGATTCCGAAGTCATCTGGAGGCCGTAGTTGAAGTCATTGGCGATTTTATTGAATAAATTTACTCTTTAGTATTTCAAGATATTTTTGTGTAATTTTGCTATAATGTTATTTTTATTTTTGCATAATTTAGACGAAAATTTATCCATCGCACGATCTCTCTCTCTTTCTCCCTATATCTATCTATCTATCTATCTATCTATCTATCTATCTATCTATCTATCTATCTATCTATTGGTAAATATAAAATATATCTGTTAAAATGAGATGCCCGCGTTATTTAACCTTTTTTTTTTTTTTTTTTTTTTTTTTTGCGCAAGTTAGACGACAATTTATCCATCGCACCTTGTATATGGGAATGCAAAATCGTTTGGTGGCACTAGTAACGTGAAATCTCGGCGTTGATCATGTTGCGCCAAAATAGAACATTTAACGCAAGCAAACGGTGTTGGAAAACCGAGTATGAATCAATATTGGGGTTGAGGAGTAACCAACATTTTCAGTGACCACCTGAACTCCTTTTCTCCCCATCGAAAATCGTTCACTTTCACCGTTACTAAATATTTGCATTTTTTTTCTTCCATCCAATTCCAACACACACACACAAACACACACAGATATACACATACACGCACGCACGCACGCACGCACGCACGCACGCACGCACGCACGCACGCACGCACGCACGCGCACACACACACACACACACACACACACACACTTTCTCTCTCTCCCCCCTCTCTCTCTCTCTGTTTCACTCACTCTGCATCTTGTTCGTCGTAATCCCCATTCTGTATTTGCCCAAATTTAAATGAGTAAAACAGACGTATCACCGCCTGTAGTAATTATGTCCATATAAACATGTATATACAAAAGCTGATATTCTGTTGTTTTTGTTTAGTGGCATATCAACACCTCTATGGGTTATTTAATGCTGAAATCAAAATATTTTATACGCAATTTTATTTATTTTTGGAGATAATATTTTAATGAGACAAGTCTTACTAATTAACCCATAGCTGGGGGGGCACGAAGAGGTGAATTCGTATCTTCTCTAAGGGTATTCGCGCATAATTGAATATAAAAAACTCAACGGGAATTGGAACTCGGCTCTCCGATTAACAATTCTGAGTTATTATTCATTGCACCACCTGTACATCCAAGTTTACAGAACCTAGTATTTCACTCGTCTAAGTACTGACCAGGCTCGACGTTGCTTAACTTCAGTAATCCTACTGGAATCGGTGTTTCAGCGTGGTGTCGCCGTTAGCCGCAAAAGCTGAGCATCATCTACCATGTATTCAATTGTGAAAGCAGAATAACATATACCATTTTTTTATTACTTCAAAGCGCCCAAGAAGTTTAAATTTCGACGTTAACTGACTCATAAAAATCGCTCAATCAAACAATCCTATTTCTCATTATCTTTTCTCTTTGATGATGTGTTTTTCTTTAATGCTACGACTCATCAGGTGTCCTGGGTATGACAATAAACTACATCAGGCAGCAAGGCTTCTGATCGGGATATTGGAGCCTTTGAGCAGCTCTGAACATCTCTTAAATGAACACCTCTTAAATGCTGTTCTTCTCAGGTCTACTATGACCCGGGGTGGTAGCACCTGTTAGGATCCCAGCTATAGGTAAATATTGAACTGCCGCTGCCGACAAAAACTATGAAGGTAAAAAAGTACATTTTTATAGTAAAAATAACAGCATTATATTTTTAATTAAAATAATATCAACAATGTCTATTTATAGTAAAATTACTACGAATACTACCTATTTATAGAAAATTACTAACAATACCTATTTATTGCAAAATGACCAACAATAAACATTTTCTGTAGCTGAAGGCATACGATTGTGTTCAAAATACATTTAGTTGGAGCCATAAAATTGTGTTTATAATATTTAGATTCTGGTATTAAATAACAGAGATGTTTATATGCGGCTAAACAAATTCAACCAAGCAACAATACTTATTTATAACAAAATGACTAACAATAATTTTATATCAACTTGAAGGCATGCAATTACGTATAAAATATTTAGATTTCGGGATTAAATAACCCATAGAGGTTGATATGCCGCTAAAAAATATCAACCAACCAACAATACATATTTATAACAAAATGGCCAACAATAGATTTTATTTACAGTTAAAGGCATATACTTATGTTTAAAATATTTAGATTTTGGTATTAAATAATTCCTAGAGGTTGATATGCAGCTAAATAAAATTAACCGTCTCTTCACGGTATCGGCAATTATGGGTTACAACAGATTAATAATATTTATTGCTATGACTAGGGAGTTTTCCTTCTCACAGGTTGGTTGTTACTCATGTTTGAGAAAACAGCCTACTCTCCAATGTAGCATATAGCTAGATAGAGGACAGATCGAACGGAAACCAGATTTGGCCAATACGTGAACTCAATTCGCCGAGTCCATTTTCTTCTCCGATAACCGATACGATACCTGCAACCTCTATAGGATCGATACAAAACTTCAGAAAGATCAATATAGACGTTATGTCAACCAAGGCTTTTGAAGAATCTCTGATAACAGAAATTCTTCCTATTTTTTTCGGTTAGCAACAGAAATTTTCTTGAGTTTGCGATATGTGTGAATTTTGAGTGGTGCTGGTAGCAGAAAACCTTGGACTCGATCCCGTCGGGTCAAAATCTTGTAATTAATAGAACACAATGTTGTTGTTTATGATGATGGTCGTCTTTGAGTATAGAATCCAGAGGTTAGCAGTGAATATTTCGAAGACAGTAGGGAAGCGTAGTTCAGGTTAGCAGTGGATATTTTGGTAAAAGTAGCAGAGCGTAGTTTAGTAGTTCTTCCTTCTGGTCCTTTCGCCTGACAAGTTGGCACTAGACATTCGGAGAGAGTAAACAAAATGGCCGCCTTTATACACGACGGATTGAATATTTTACGTCTTCTGATTGGTTAACCCTTCTCTTGGTGGACTATAAAATGAGTCAAGACATTTTGAGTGGCTCACTCGTACATACAACATACAATTATGTTTAGTTTGTATTTTGTGTTTATTTTTAGTTATTATTGGGTTCATCTCCCTCCCCTTTCATTCTATCATTATTAGAATTTTAAATTACATATATATCATCATTATATTTTTATGGTGTGGGGCGCGTTTTGGTAGGTTCCCCTAGAGAGGATGTGGTATTATGGTGGTTGGAGGATTGATTGGTGATGGACGAGTTCTTGTGGTGAATGAGCAAATTGTAATGTATGAATGGGTCGTGAATCAGATTAGCTAGGTATAAGATAGTTAGTGTTGACTAGCCTTTACCCCTCCCCTTTTTGGCCTTGTGCCATAATTTGTTAATTATGACAAATAAATCTCCTAGTACATACATACCCCAAAAAAATGCAACAAATGATAACCTTTCATTGTCGCCATTACTAACTTCTTGTTCCTGTTCCTTTTCCCCATCCAATCAGTTTACGGCCATATCACGTTCGAACATTGGTTCAGGTACGGTCACCGAATTTAATCAAAGTCGAGCCTGGTTAGTACCTAGGCGGGTAACCATTTGGGTTTACCAGGTGCTGTAAGCCTGGATGTGCTGGTGGTGTAATGTATAATAACCCGGAACTGCAAATGGAAGTGCCGACTTTCAATTCCAGCCGGGTTCGTTATATCCCCTTAGGCGCAAAGACCTTTTGGGAAAGGAATGTATCCCAATTTTCGCTCACCCCCAGCTATGGGTTAATTAGTAGAACTTGTATCAGTAAATCATTATTATCTCTCCAAAAATGCTTATAATCTAAAAACAATTTTTAACTTTAACTAACCTGCAGTCAGAGTTAGTTATGTGCCATGCGTGATAAACGCTTAGGCGATCATGTATTTTTCGATACATGATTTACAAGGCATATTTTTTCCCGCAGTAGGTTGCCATTTTTTTCTGCGGTAGACCAGTTGCCATCGAAGGCTATAGAAGCCGGTCTGTCCTGCTATTTAACCATAGCTGGAGGGGAGAAGAAGAGGTTTCATACTTTTCCCAAGGGTTAGTCAGTTATGTGCCATGTGTGATACACGCTTAGGCGATCATATATCTTTCAATACATGACTGACGAGAAAGATTTTTCCCGCAGTAGGTAGCCATTTCTTTCTGCGGTAGGCCAGTTGCCATCCAAGGCTATAGAACCTGGTCTGTCCTGCTATTTACCTATAGCTGTTGGGAGAAGAATAGGATTCTTTTCCAAGGTTATTAGCACGTAAGTGAATATAATGGATTCGACTGGAATTCGAACTCGTCTCTCTCAATCCTCAATCCGAGCCGCTATTACTGGGATAATATTCGTGGACCCAAAAATCATCTACCAAATGTTTCAAAAAATGGGATCCAAGATAAATCTTTAAAGAACAGACTCTATGATTTGGAATTTGAATTCATGACACTACCCTGCATCCAGGCAGTTTTTTTTCTGCAGTAGATTGTCATTTCTTTCTGCGGTAGACCAGTTGCTATCGAAGGCTACAGAACCCAGTTTGTCTTGTTATTCATCCATATTGAGGGGGGGGGAGAAGACGCGGATTCATACCTTTATCAAGGGTATTAGCACGTAAGTGAATGTAATGGATTCGACTGGAATTCGAACTCGCCTCTCCGATTCCTCAATCCGAGCTGCTATCTATTACTCCACCATGCCTCTTTATAGCCTTCAAAGGGTTGATAAGTTATAAAATACAAATCAATCAATCCCATCCAATGACAAAGCATACACACCCATACTCTCTCTTGCTCTCATTCTGTCCTTCAATTCCATTTATACTGTCTCACCTTAACATCCATACTATTCTTTTAGCCACGTAACTGCTTGTTGGAAATCAGTTTTGGTGGGAAGACCACCTAACGAATCAGCCATTGACAGACGGCATCTTCAGGTTTCCATTGTGTTTCCTGTCCTTTGGATTTGTAAAAAAAAAAAAAACAATAAATGGAAACAGAAGATAGAAATGAACGCCAAGTACGTCCAATGGGGAAGCCTTGTCTGCAGGCTATGGGTCAAGTGGTCATACAGAATGGTCGGTCCGTGTATCAAATGACAAGTCCGAACCAACGCAGCTTAACTATTGGTCAGCGTTGCGCAAACTAATTAACCACAGCGGTTGGACATAGCGCCTCGGGCAAGTCCGGGTATTTGCAAGGGCGGATAGTGGTCACCAGGTTCTCGTAAGAGAAGATAAAGATTATATCATGGAATAAGGCAGGTAAGGAGGGAGGGGCGGGCCATATTAGTTGATATTTAAATGGCGAGACACGGCCATAATCGAAGAACTCATGTTCTTAAATCATCTCGCCAGATGGACGACAGGCATGGGGCATCAATTTTAACCTCTTCAAGTCGAGGGTCAATTTTTATTTATCTTACCTATCCTCGTAATATGCACTCAGATCCTTGTACAAAAATCTCATTTAGTAACTCTCTACATTGTGGGCCTCTTGGCCCTTGATTAGGTGAACAATAGAATAAAAAGTAAATCAGAAACCATGAGAGCCATACCCATTGTAATGTCAGAGGAATTATTATTATTATTATTATTATTATTATTATTATTATACCTGTCTGTTTTTTCCTTCTTATTTATTCGCACCTTCATCATTTTCTACTTCATCATATTCACCATCTTCTTCCGATTATTATTATTATAAAGCTCTGCCTATTCTTTATCCTCATCTTCTTCAACCTATTCATCAGCATCTTCTTTCCATTATTATTATTATTATTATTATTATTATTATTATTATTATTATTCCCCTCTGCCTTTTCCTTCTTCTTTATCCACATCTTCTTCATTTTCTACTTCTCCATCCTATTCACCATCATCTTCTTCTTCCTATTATTATTATTATTATTATTATTATTATTATTATTATTATTATTCACCTCTGCCTTTTTCCTTCTTCTTTATCCTCATCTTCTTCATTTTCTACTCCTCCATCCTATTCACCATCATCTTCTTCTTCCCATTATTATTATTATTATTATTATTATTATTATTATTATTATTCCCTTTATCCCTTTTTTTCCTTCTTTATCCTCATCTTCTTCATTTATTATTCCATCCATCCTATTCATCACAATCATCTTCTTCTTCCCATTATTATTATTATTATTATTATTATTATTATTATTCCCTCTGCCTTTTCCTTCTTCTTTATCCTCATCTTCTTCATTTTCTACTTCTCCATCCTATTCACCATCATCTTCCCATTATTATTTCCCATTATTATTATTATTATTATTATTATTCCCTCTGCCTTTTCCTTCTTCTTTATCCTCATCTTCTTCATTTTCTACTTCTCCATCCTATTCACAATCATCTTCTTCTTCCCATTATTATTATTATTATTATTATTATTATTCCTCTGCCTTTATTCTTCTTTATCCTCATTATTATCCATATTCACCATCATCTTCTTCTTCCCATTATTATTATTATTATTATTATTTTATTATTCCTTGCCTTTTCCTTCTTCTTTATCCTCATCTTCTTCATTTTTCTCCTCCATTATTCACAATCATCTTCTTCTTCCCATTATTATTATTATTATTATTATTATTATTATTCCCCTCTGCCTTTTCCTTCTTCTTTATCCCTCATCTTCTTTTCCATCCCACCATCATCTTTTTCCCATTATTATTATTATTATTATTATTATTATTATTATTATTATTATTCCCTCTGCCTTTTTCCTTCTTCTTTTTATCCTCATCTTCTTCATTTTCTACTTTCTCCATCCTATTCACCATCATCTTCTTCTTCCCATTATTATTATTATTATTATTATTATTATTATTATTATTATTATTATTCACCTCTGCCTTTTTCCTTCTTCTTTATCCTCATCTTCTTCTTTTTTCTACTTTTTCTCCATCCTATTCATCATTATCTTCTTCCTCTTCTTCTACTTCTTCTTCTTCTTCTTCGTATTATTATTATTATTATTAATTATTGGTTAGCCTTGCGTAAACTAAATCACCACAACGGTTGGCCATAGCGCCTCGAGCAAGTCCGAGTATTTGTAAGTGCGTGTAGTGGTTACCAGATTGCCGTAAGCGAAGTTGAACATTATAACAAGGAATAAGACAGAGAAGGCTCAGGTTGGGTCATAGTAATTGAGATTTAAATGGTGAGATAAGCCATAACCGAATAACTCGAGCCATGTCCCGTCAGATCGAAACTTTCATATGGATGTCATGTATGTCGTTAAACTCGTCTTTAAATATCTAAATTCTTATCTGTATACAACCTTAGTTTTTTTTTTCAGATCAATAATTATAATAGCGTCCCTTAGAGATGAACATACATAATCACAAAGGACTGTACCAAATCACAGAAATCACATCACTTGAAGATTTTGAACATCAGCAATTAAAATGGTTTTGATTTACGACATATCAATCTCAATGGGTAACTGAATGCTGAAAGGATTTTTATTGCTGGTATTTTTTTTTAGATGTATTGCTGGTAATTTTTTTTTTTTTAAAGTATTACTGGTAATTTTTTTTTGATGTATTGCTGGTAATTTTTTTTTAGATGTATTGCTGGTAATTTTTTTTTTAGATATATTGCTGGTAATTTTTTTTTAGATGTATTGCTGGTAATTTTTTTTTAGATATATTGCTGGTAATTTTTTTTTAGATGTATTGCTGGTAATTTTTTTTTAGATGTATTGCTGGTAATTTTTTTTTTAGATATATTGCTGGTAATTTTTTTTTAGATGTATTGCTGGTAATTTTTTTTTTAGATATATTGCTGGTAATTTTTTTTTAGATGTATTGCTGGTAATTTTTTTTTAGATGTATTGCTGGTAATTTTTTTAGATGTATTGCTGGTAATTTTTTTTTTAGATATATTGCTGGTAATTTTTTTTTAGATGTATTGCTGGTAATTTTTTTTTAGATGTATTGCTGGTAATTTTTTTTTTTTAGATGTATTGCTGGTAATTTTTTTCTTTTTAGATGTATTACTGGTAATTTTTTTTAGATGTATTGCTGGTAATTTTTTTTTTAGATGTATTGCTGGTAATTTTTTTCTTTTTAGATGTATTACCTCTAATTTTTTTTTAGTTGTATTACTGGTAATTTTTTTTTAGATGTATTACTGGTAATTTTTTTTTAGATGTATTACTGGCAATTTTTTTTTAGATGCATTGCTGGTATTTTTTTTTTTAGATATATTACTTATAATATTTTCTTTTTCGAAAATGTATTGCTTTAAATTTTTTTTAGATATATTGCTGGTAATTTTTTTTTTTTAGATCTATTGCAGGTAATTTTTTTTTTAGATGTATTGCTGGTAATTTTTTTTTAGATGTATTGCTGGTAATTTTTTTTAGATGTATTGCTGGTAATTTTTTTTCAGAAATGTATAGCTAGTAATTTTTTTTAAATGTATCGCTGGTAATATTTTTTTAAAGTGTATTGCTGGTAATAATGAATTACTGGTAATAATTTTTCTTCAAAAATGTATTGCTGGTAATAATTTTTTATATCGTATTTTTGGTATTAAAACCTATTTTTACATTTTCATATTGTTTTGACCCCAGTTTAGGGGCTAAATATTCACCAATGGCAGGGGCCCTAACAGGTGCTACCACCCTGTGTCAGGGTGGACCTGAGAACACCAGGAATTAAAAGGTGGTTGCACGCTCCTCAAAACCTGATCCGATTCCTTGCGGTTGGATGTAGTTTTTCGTCTTACACAGGACCCAACTAAAATGGATATTACATATGACTCGAAGAGAAAATAATGACATAATGAAGATGATGACATTCACACAACTTCAAACAAAATGTTAGTAAGGAAGCCCCAACCATCAATACTAAAGAAACGAAAACAGTTAACCGACTCGAGAGACTATTTTCATCATAAAATTGTTTTAACAGAAAGTTTTTTAAAAATTTCTATCGAAGAGTAGCACTGTTTGTTCGGTCAATTAATTTCGATTGTTTCCATATAAAGAAACTTCACAATTCTCCGGTAGGATCTGAAATACTGACTGTTGGCCAGCTTAATGGTTGCCACTGTACTTTTGATAGACGTGGTCACAGGCACCGATGATTTTAATCATGCAGAACATCTAAGGGTGCGTGTTAAGGAAATAGGAATGTTTCTGATGATTTTGTAGCGTTGGTTCACACAGTGTCTTAGACTGGTGGAAAAGAATGGATCACGCGATGATAAGAATACTCATACCTTTGTTTGGTTTGGTTTGGTTTGTTTTACGGTATATCAACCTGAATGGGTTATTTAATACCGACAAGATATTTTATTGCTGGTAATATTTTCTTTTTCGAAAATGTATTCCTGGTAATTTTTTTCTTCCCAAAATGTATTGCTGGTATTAAAACCTATTTGTCCAATTTCATAGATTTTGGACCCCAGTTTGGGGATAACTATTTTCCCATAGCTCGGGCCCTAACTGGTTCTACCACGCCAAGTCAGTGTGCACCTGGAAGCACCAGCAATTAAGAGGTTGTTTCATGCTCCTCAAAACCTCCTGATCAGAGGCCTTGATGCCGGATGTAGTTTATCGTGATACCCAGGATGTCCCATTGGGGTAGGGGTCTTAATCATCTGCAGAGGTACAGTCGGCATATTTTGAAGCACCAGCCGACAGGACACAAACCTTTTTATAGAAGCATCAAGTTGACTGTGGTTAGCAAAAACCACTTTTTCGGAGACAGGAAATTCGTCTGTAATAAATAGCAAGGCTGCTGAGGATATCATGAACCGAATATGTGAGCAACGACGAATTTTTAGAGAAAATCGAAAGAAAAAGGACATTTATATTTAACATCAATTTTTGACATTTCTTTGGTACATAACGAGGAAGGATGGTTTGGAAATTTTGATACTCACAGGACAGATGGATAGCAACAAAGAGGGACAGAGGTAAACAATGTATAAACTATCTAACAAGGTTGAGTGGAACAAGGTTCAGGAGAGGTACCAAAAAGACAAAATTTATTAAGACTTATAAAAGATAAGAAATTGTGGAGAGCCATGATCACCAACGTACTAAACGGACACGACATATAGAAGAAGAAATAATTAACCCTGTAGATTGTTGGTGTATAGGACCCCTGCTATATAGGAGAACTGATCTTTTTTTTGTTTCTCTTTCTTCAAGTCTCAACTTCATCTGTGAGGAGGTTGTTCAACATTCACTGCCATATAAATGGACTACCATCATTGTTTCTGTTTCTTAATACGTTGCTTAGAGATTTGTTTCTTGAAATAGGGCTTACAATTGGACTACCATCAGTTGTCAGTCATGATGCTTGAAAACTTGAAATTCAAAACCATATGCGCATAAAATTTCTACGGAAAACACAGCAGCGAAAACGAGGCTGTTACCCTATACTCTAAAAGAGGACTCTATAGTAGTAAAATGCATACAAAGTATACATTTGTTGCTTGAAATAAAGCCTAACGGGGTACTACTATCAGTTGTTAATTATGACGCTTTGAAACTCTGTATTCAAAACTGGGTGGGCGTATAACAAGCAATTGTATTCCGAAAACAAAAAAAAAGCTACTTGTTCACTGAAACCACAGTGAGAACACTTGGTGGGGTGAGTATATTGCCCTGTATCCCATGTGGAGAGAAAGAGATGGAAAAGGTTGAATACTTTCTGCTGTAGCTTCTATGGCGTAAATATTTCACTATGACTCGTAAGTCTTCACCAAAAATGTTCAATTATGGCGTCCAAAGCTTCTTTGAATCGCCAATTACAGTTCTCCCATGAACAGGACTTAGGAAAAAAAGAAAACGAAGAAAAAGGAAAAAAAAAGGAGTATAATAGGGACATTCGTGTCTTCAAAATCAATCCACCAATCAATAGGTTGTTCTGAACAGGGAGCAGGGGAGCATTCACTGTTTCAGTAGTCGTGCATTCAACGTTCCCATATGTTCTGCATTCTCTCAGTTTCCATCGAATTAGCTTTTGACAATAGCGTGTGAATCGCCCGGGGACAAAAGGTGTACTTTTCTTGAACTCATGCTCAATAAAAACACAAGGCAGATCTGCCGTACGTGCTGTCAATGCACCTGACAAGAGCACCGGCTTTGATTTACAATACAGGAAAGAAAAAAGGAACAAAAGATACAATAAATATATCCAAGGTGATGTGAACCTCATCGTAAGAAATTGATAAATATCGGGGATGAATAGCTTTTGAAACGGAAGCGAAGTGACGTCAGAAACTACCCGGATATTAGGTTATTCATTATACGGCTAATAGCGCCAAATTTTTTACCCTAATTAAATTTTTGTATTCAATGAAGTACTGTAAATACTTACCATCCATTATTATTGTTGTGACCTTCTTAGGGCCAGACATAAAGACACAAAGAGATGAATTGAATTAAACAAATATATCAACAGAAACAGTAATACAACCATATAAAAACAAGAGTGTTATAGCAAGAATGTTCGGTCTGACTGTTAAAGCTGACTGCTGGAAAGGCAGTACCTGCACCTATTTATACCTGGGAGAGTCCATGCGTGCGTCGGTAAATTATCATAGCAATTATCAATATATAACGAAGTGTTTACGTACATATTAATTTATTTACTTGAATTTTATCAGCGGTTTAGGCATTAAAAATGCATCCACTTGGTCTTCAAAAAAGACAAACCCTCATTAGGTCATATAGCTTGGCAATACAGAATCCAAAACATAGAAATTTAACAAATAAAAATTACATCACTTGAATACTTCCAAGAGCAGCAACAACTAAAATGGCTAGCACATGTAACTAAAGGAGAAAATGATGTAATCAAAATGGTGGAATTCTACTTGAAACAAACGTTTCCGATAAAAAAATCGCATCATTACTCGAAAGAGCTATAATAGCTATTGGACTTGAGAAACCTATTTTCAAGAAAAAACTATTTCAAGAGAAAGATTTTATAAATATCACTCGACAGTAACACTAGCGTTTCGTTAAATTCTGTTGTGCACTCTTGGAAGGTAAGTGCGAATTTTTAAACAATGTCTTTTACTACTAATATTACAAGGCTCTTCCCCTTTCCTGAATTGAGCTCTCTCAGTCATTGGTGTGTTTATTCACAGAGTAAGGACTTAAAAAAAAATTGGCTTTCTTTCACCCATCCGATGGTTTAGGGGAAAATATCCGACTGTTACTGAAGCAGTCAGGTTTCGATCCTGGCTTGAAGCAATCGGATGTCCAGCCAAACTGAGGATCTGTGATACAGCGAAACAGTCTGTCTGCGGATATATATATATATATATATATATATATATATATATATATATATCTCCAGGTAAGATGAAAGAATAGAGTACAATTCAAAAAGTGTAATATTTAATCTAAAACACGACTTTTACAAAGTTATAATTATAAACCTAATATATATATATTAGGTTTATAATTTTGCTCTACTTTGTAGAAAGTCGTGTTTTAGATTAAATTCAATAATATATATATATATATATATATATATATATATATATATATATATATATATATATATATATTGAGTTGAGTCTGATTTGGAATCTTTCGTCACTGAGGCCCCATTTGGTACAGTTGTTCGCTTGACAACCCAACTGTCAGGGTTTCTGATACTGGTGGTGGCTTCGCAATGCTTATGAGTCCCGGATTATAGGACGAAACGGCCGTCCAGTGCTTCCTCTATTCCTGTTGAGGTTTCTATCAGACTCAATGAATTAATTATATATATATATATATATATATATATAGCAGGTTTATAATAAAAGTAGAGGAATATTATAAACCTACTACCTCCTTTTTCTTTTGTAAAAAGATGTTGTATCTTACTTTTTGATGTAATGAATATGCATACACCTGGGTTTCCCCTCACAGTAATATGATTGCCTGGTCTCAGCCATAAATACAGACTGATGTGGAGGTACAGGGAGGACACCCACTGAGGACGCCTATTGGCTACGCTTATAGACTTCGCCTATAGCCTACGCCTATTGCCTACCACTACGACGAGGACCAGTCCATAACGCTTCCCTGCTAGATTGTCCTACTCGGTTACAGAAGTCAACAACTAATTTACTATTTCAAACAAATATATCCCTTTCCGAGACATATCACTTTTAAATCTAAATAAATCGCTAACTCGCCAGTAATTTACAATCGCTTGATGTGATGCATTGATAAGAAACGAAATACGACTGTAATTAGGTAGCGATTTTGACATGTTTTCGATGTAATATCATAATATATATATATATATATATATATATATATATATATATATATATATATATATATAAAAGAGAAAAGAAAATCAGCAAGAGATTTTGGTTATAATGTGAATTTTAAAAAACATATTTTGTATTTTATTTTCCATTTTATAAGTCTCGAACATAAACGACAATACTGAAAAAAGCCTGAAAGTTAATCTAACTAATCAGTAAAGTGCTCGATGCCTAGATTGTCTAGGAGAGACCCAAAACAGAAAACTATATATATATATATATATATATATATATATATATATATATATATATATATATATATATATATATATGTATATATAATATTTTTTCAGCAGAATACCTTTGTCAGTGTACTCGGGTAAGCCAAAATTTCACCATAACGTATAATGCCTGTGTGTTTGTTCACCTCGAGGTGGTGTAATGGTTAACAAGCTTGTCTCGCTACAACAATTAATACTGAGTAGTAAGTTCGATCCTCACTTGGCGCCCCATACTTTCAGCCTTGTGCTACATCTGAGCAACGCTTGGCAAATCTCTCTAATGTGTGTGTGTAAAAGAAATTTAGATATAACTGCGATATATCTGCAAAAGAGCAAATGAATGGATAAAATAGGAAAACCTTTCTTAGCCAACGCGTTTCATCTTCTGACAGATTTTATCCAGTCAAATATGAGGATTTTATTTTGCAACAAGTATTCCCACACAAAAGTAAAATGGTGTTAGTTTTTCAAAATTTTAAATTTAAGAGACGCTCATAAATATTCATCAGGTTAACTGAAAATTTTACGTAAATTATGGAGGATGCCAAGTGACGTAATTTAATCTCTATCTATCAAAGGCAGGATGTGTGTGTGTATAACGAATGCACGGCCGCAATTTTCGACGGATTTGCACCAAAATTTACATGCACATGCTCCAAGGTAGCACGAAGGCCAAGACCGACTTTGCATTTCCTAACTCCCATCGATAGTGGAAATAATCGATTTTTCATGCTTCTACGGCAGTTTTCATGTAGTTTGCGGCCATTTTATACTGGCCAGAGTGAGAGCCTATAGCTGGCTGCCGCGAATAGGCAGGAAGATTCTATTGGCCAGCGTGAGAGCCAACAGCTGACTGACACGAATGTTAACTAGCATGCTAACATGCAAAAAAAAATGAATAACTGCATTCGTCACAAGTGGGAAAAATTTAAATCTGCATGGCACTTTACTCCAATCGGCTCATTCGCTTGCTTAAACTTAACGTTGATTCTGATTCCGCAGAACTGGGTTGGGTGTGAAAAAGTATTTGTTGTTAACATTCTTTTTTCATTCGGTTTTTCCAGTTACAAGTCCTTTTTAAAGCTGATCGTTTTGTGTTCATTTTGTTTAGTTCTTTTTTCTATAGAGCTTAGAAAAAATTTGCAGTGTGAGATAGGCAAGAAGTAAGGCATGTAGCAACATCAGTACGGCAAAGGGCACTCCTTTAAAGACAAGGAAGGGCAAAAATATTTGAAGTCAAGTGATAGTGATTTCTGTATGAGTCGTACGATTTTTGAATCAAGCACGGGCAACGCCGGGCCATGCTGCTAGTGCCTAATAAACGAAAGCGTGTAAATCAGGTTGAGTTTTTATGCTATTAACATTTAAATTATTTTAGTATGGTATAAATTTATGTATTAAATATTTTTTAAAATACAAGATTATGAATATAGCCGTTTTAATTCCTCAACATTTTTATAGTCATGTATGTTGGGTTGGGATAGAAGTAATTCTTTCAGGAATGGAGATGTTGGAAAAAGATTTGAGATGTAGATTTATATTTATATAGGGTTCGATAGCGGCACTTTAAAGAACTTTCCGCTTAAGTGAGTTACATTTTCTCTTAATAAGCGTGACATTCTTTAAAATTGTGGTTGAATCTTTTATAATGTACAGGATGCGATAGGTAAATTGTCACCATCTTATATTTTTTAATTTCGCTCATGAGCGTTGTTTGTTTTTGATTTTGCCGACTGCAAAGTATAGTACGGTCAGTTGGCCACGATCTGTGAGAAAAAGAGCACCATAACGCAATTAACTTCGCCAGAGTGCTTGGGTGGCAATCTGTAGACAATGCAGAGGATTCGGAAAGAGTTGGATGAGTCTAATGGTGATTACGAAGGTACGGCAGCTCGGAAAAACCTCTCTGATAGTTCTGATAAGAAAAGAACACCTGAATTTGTTGGTGAGGCTGAGACCAACATGGAGGCCTACATCAAGTGCCTCGAAGAGGTATTGCTCCTCTTGGGTCAAGCGGGGTAGTTATTAGAAGACCCTATGTCTTGGAACATGCTATGCCAGCAGGAGAACCAGGTCATGACTGTCAGACAATTTCTGCGACGACATCACCCATTACATCTGGCCACCTAAATTCCTTAGACTTTGATTATTATGTATGGGGCGCAGTTGCTTAAGAGGCCAACAAAACTCCTTGTAACACCAAAGATGAACTGAAGGCATGGATTATGGAAGCATTCACCAACTTAAACAAAGAGACAGTCCAGAAGAGTTGCAGGAGATTCCGAAGTCGTCTGGATGCCCTGGTTGAAGCCAATGGCGATTTTATTGAATAAACGTACTCTTTAGTATTTCAAGATATCTTTGTGTAATTTTGGTAAATATATCTATTAAAATGAGATGTCAATGTTATTTTCATTTTTGCATAATTCAGACGAAAATTTATCCCACGCACCATCTCACGTTCTACCTATATCTCCATCTATCTATCTATCTATCTATCTATCTATTTATCTATCTATCTATCTATCTATCTATGTGTGTATTTTCATTTTTGCGTAATTTAGACGAGGGTTTATCCATCGTCTCCTGTATATCCTTCTTCGAATCCAACACCAAAGGTTATATATATATATATATATATATATATATATATATATATATATATATATATATATGTGTGTGTGTGTGTGTGTGTGTGTGTGTGTGTGTGTGTAATACATTAAATAAAGTGGACATTGAAGCCAACAGCCATAGGCGGCAGCCTGTTTATGCTAAACGCAATCAGCCTAAACGCAATCGCTAGGCCTCTAGGTGTTGACTTCAATGTCCACTTATATTTACATACACTCTAGCCCTGATATATATATATATATATATATATATAGTAGTCGACTCCCCGTCGATTTCGACGTATGAGGGCCAAGCAGATCAGTTTTCAGGAAACCGACAGCACGACAACGACACATGGATTTGATTATAGTGGTGAAGGCCTCGTGCAGGACCATCCACACTTTTGAATATATATATATATATATATATATATATATATATATATATATATATATATATATATATATATGTGGGTAATTAATCCAAGCGAATCTTAATAATATCAAATATTAAAACTGATTCAGAAAGAGAGCTCAATATACTTATTATAGAGCATATAAATGGATTATTACACAAAACTAAAACTCAATTTTATCCCATTTATATAGCCATTTTGCTCCTATATATACACATACACACACACACACACACACACACACACACACACACACATATATATATATATATATATATATATATATATATATATATATATATATATATGAAGAACATGTCCCTTAAATAATTCAGGCAAAGATCCTATCTTAATACGACAAGTTTTTAGTAACCTTATTAAAGTCAGAAAGAAAATTAACATGTTGAAACACATTTTATTCCAAGTACTTTCGATTTTAGCACAGTGTAGTCATCACGGTTATTTTTTATTAAGACAAAAATTGTTGTGTTCATCATTTTTCTAAACAAAATTGTTGTCTTCGTCTGAAAAATATTTTTTACGTGTGAAAAATAATAGGGATACTACGAAACTTGTCCGTATGTATGAGACCATCCTATTAAAATAAGAATACTAAACTTGCCTAAATAAAACGAATATGCATCAATATGGTAATTTTCTTTCTTCCTTTAATACGGATAACTAAGAAACTCGTAATTACGAGAGGATCATATTAAGAATAAGTAGACAAAACTTTTACAAATTTTTTTATGCTGCAAAAATATACGCAATATCGCCTGGCTACTGGCGTATTTCGTATAGAAAACGTTACAATTTCCCCTTCTCTCTCTTTGCGCCGACAGCTTAGGGGTAGGATCTCAGACTGATGCCAAATCAGTCGAGTTTTGATCCCGTCTCGAAGCAATCAGACGTCTAGCCACACTGAAGAGCTGTGATACAGCGAAGCAATCTGTCTGTGGATGACTATATATGCTCTGATATGGTTGACTTTGAGGGTTAGTTATGTTTTTTTTTGTTACTGTTTTGCATTTAGCCATGTTCTAACTGCCTGAGTATACGACTTTAATTATATTACATCCTGAATTATCACAGATATTCATCCTGAAAATACATGCACAATTAAAGATTAACAAACTGATTTTGAAATTGGACTATATCAAGACTTCGCAATTGAAAACTGGATAGCTTCAGTCCAGATATGGCAGCAATACTCCATTTTCGGCCTGATGTGGTTCATGTAATGGTACAGCATATCAGCAGGTGTAAGGTACTTGCTGGAGTGCTATAGGGAACCGACCCTTTTTCTAGAATCTTTCGCGATGTGTCGTCTATACGAGTTCCATTTGATGTCTGGGGTGAGCTTAAGTACCAAAAGACGTCCAAGGCACCTCATTGAGAGACAACCAGTTCTCTGCGATAGACTAAAATTCAGAGATTGCTTGGTGATGATGGTCCATTATCAGTTTCGTTTTTGAAGTTTTGAATGTACACAGCCAGTTTTCAGCCATTCAGTTGTTAAAGTTACTTCGATTTTTAGAGGTGCACCGATATAACGTCGTTTTATCTGCATATATATTCGCAGGAGATCGGTGTATGCACTTAAGTAGATCATTAGAAAGAGGGTTAGACCGGTGAACGAACCGTTGGTGATGCCTAAATACCTCTTATGTGCCTCGGAAGACTGGTCATTAACAGCTCCTTTCATAGACCTATCTGTTAGGAAAAAAATGAAGAAAAGAAAGAAGGAAAAAATAAAGAGGGAAAGAAAGAAAGAAAGCACGAGATGCTACAAATGTATAGAGTATAAAAGGATGGAACTTAATAAAGAAAGAAAGAAAGAAAGAAAGAAAGAAAGAAAGAAAGAAAGAAAGAAAGAAAGAAACCGCAAGATTCTACAAAAGTGTATGGAGCATGAAAGAAAGAAATGCAGTAAGAATGAAAAAGAAAGAGAGGGGATTGAAAGAAAGAAAGAAAGAAAGAAAGAGGGAAAAAGAAAGAAGGAAAGAAAGAAAGAAAGAATGAAAGAAAGAAAGAAAGAAAAAACAAAGAAAGAAAGTAAGCGCAAGATTCTACAAAAGTGTATAGAGCATGAAAGAAAGAAATGCAGTAAGAATGAAAAATAAAGAGAGGGGATTGAAAGAAAGAAATAGAGAAAGAAAGAGGAAAAAGAAAGAAGGAAAAAAAAAAAATTGAAAGAGGGAAAGAAAGAAAAGAAAGAAAGAAAGAAAGAAAGAAAGAAAGAAAGTAAGCGCAAGATTCTACAAAAAAAGTGTATAGAGCATGAAAAGAAAGAAATGCAGTAAGAATGAAAAAAAGAAAGAAGGGGATTGAAAGAGGGAAAGAAAGAAAATAAAAAAAGAAAGAGGGAAAAGAAAGAAGGAAAGAAAAGAAAAAAATTGAAAGAAAGAAAGAAAGAAAGAAAGAAAGAAAGAAAGAAAGAAAAAAAAACAAAGAAAGAAAGTAAGCGCAAGATTCTACAAAAGTGTACAGAGCATGAAAAAAAGAAATGCAGTAAGAATGAAAAAAAAAGAGAGGGATTGAAAGAAAGAAATAAAAGAAAGAAAGAAAAAAAAAAAAAGAAGGAAAGAAAAAAAAAAAAAAGAAAAAGAAAGAAAGAAAGAAAGAAATTCTAAAAAGAAAGAAAGAAAGAAAGAAAAAAAAAAGAAAGAGAAAGAAAGAAAAGATTCTACAAAAGTGTATGGAGCATGAAGAAAAGAAAGAAAAATGCAGAAAGAATGAAAGAAAAAAGAAAGGGAAGAAAGAAAGAAAAAGAAAAAAAAGAAAGAAAAGCAAGATTCTAAAAAAAGAAAGGAAATGCAGTAAGAATGAAAAAAAAAAATTGAAAGAAAGAAAAAAAAAGAAAAGGAAAAAGAAAGAAAGAAAAAGAAAGAAAAAAAGAAAGAAAGAAAGAAAGAAAAAACAAAGAAAAGAAAGAAAGCGCAAGATTCTACAAAAGTGTATGGAGCATGAAAGAAAGAAATGCAGTAAGAATGAAAAAAAAAAAAGAGAGGGATTGAAAGAAAGAAATAAAGAAAGAAAGAGGGAAAAAGAAAGAAGGAAAGAAAGAAAAATTGAAAGAGGGAAAGAAAGAAAGAAAGAATGAAAGAAAGAAAGAAAAAAAAAAAAACAAAGAAAAGAAAGTAAGCAAAGATTCTACAAAAAGTGTATAGAGCATGAAAGAAAGAAATGCAGTAAGAATGAAAAAGAAAGAGAGGGGATTGAAAGAAAAAAATAAAGAAAGAAAGAGGGAAAAAGAAAGAAGGAAGAAAGAAAAAATTGAAAAGAAAAGAAAGAAAGAAAAAGAAAGAAAAGAAAGAAAAGAAAGAAAG